TGTAATTCACTTCCAAGTCTATTTTCCTGTGTTGTGTGGGTGCATCTGTGATTGTGTATTGGGTCCTGCAAAACGCTGGTCACAATAATGGTGAGTGAAGACTGCCTGTTAGGACATGTACAGATCCCCGGAACTGCTGCTGACGGTCTGCTGACATGCTACTCATGCTACACCCTCTGTGTAGGCATGGTGCTGTTTGACACATTACTCGTTGTGCTATAACTAAAATGTAAACAGATGGAAATCTTTTTTGCTGGAAACCTTTGTGTTGGGCTGAGGAGGGCCAAACAATCATGTGAGATCATTTATCTGTTTCGACACATATGATAGGTGTTGTCACTCACCTTTTTTTTTTGGTCTTGGGCAAACCTTCAATGAGCTCTTTAATCATGTCGGCACATGACAGCATTAAGCATAATTATATCAATTACTACATAGTGCCATGTGAAATTAGTTATCACAAAGACAGAAAGTTGGCTTCTCTACTTTGCCGCTACATGAACTACCCAACCACCTAAATGCCATTAGAAAATGCTTCTGTTCGAATGGCAACTCAGAAGAGCAGGTTCATTCTAACTGTAATTGTGTTTTCACAGCTTGTGGGTGACAAAAACAAATCGCAACTGGGTGTGACACCATGTGAAAATTCTCCTGATAGCACAACAGTGAACCTAAATACAGGAGGCCCTCCCACAAACATTGGACAGGCTGACACTGAGCCATTGATGTGGGAGTTGTAGTCCATTGGCGTGACGTGATAAAAACAACTAAGAGAACAGCCTGCAGTCGAGTCAGGAAATGCACTGAAACGTGTGTTAAAGCTATAGGCTTTGAAAAGTTGGACTCCACTCTTGTATAGTGGGTTGTGGAGCTGCAGCCTCTGGGAACCTCTACTCTTGATTTCCCAACCACAGACTTCCTTTCTCTCCCTGTGACTCCTGCTCCCACTCCTCATGTCCCATCACATCCCTCCCACGTACATGTAAACCTCAGCCTGCCTGTGTCCTCCATCAATGTCCTGCCTCCCACCACCTCTACCAGATAATATGATCGGTTTTCTCCAGCAGGGAAGGAACGCCAGGCCTCAACGAAAATCTTAACTCTCTGGGGACGAACAATTCATGGGTGAAAACCGTGACACCGGTGCTGGAACTTGCGGGGAATAAAACCTCCTTTTGGAGCACATTGACTGAAATAAAAGATTTCACCCGGGCTCCAGCAGCAGCCCCCCCACCTTTTATACTGGCAGTGTTGAACAAAGAGATTGTTTATATTGGATACTGTCCGTCTGACATTCGGCTCTGTTCCTTTCGCATAACTTTTCCATGTGGGCTATCTGTTCCAAAGTTGCATTCCCAAACTCCCTTTATATTCTGAATAACCTTCATTGAATTTAAGGCTCAAATTCATTTAGCTAAATCACCTATTCATGGTGTTTTAACAGCATTACAGAGCTTTCTTTTACTGGGTTATGGGGTTTATCTTTAGTCAGCATCAGTTTCTGTACACAGGGGACATTTTACAAAGCTTTACCCCGACTGTGGGCCAGGGCTCAGAAGTTTAACACTGTTTATGTGGTGTTACGTGCTAAAGAATTAGACCAGCAATGGACTGGTGAGTAGTCGTAACCAGTCCGAGGTCTGTCCAGATAGAATCCTTACAAAATCTGCTTGTGCAACTGAGCTCCCTGCTAACTGTTTGGATAGCTGACAGACTGCAGGCGTTTTCAAAAGCCTGTTGGCGCTGGAACAACAGTGATGAGCGAGGACTGATGGCGAATCACTCTCAGAGACCAGGGCAGTAAGCCTCTCTGGTTCCGGCTGTCGTCACTCGGGCTGTGTGAGAGAGTTTTCGCCGGGTCACAGGGAGATTAGAGGAAGTGATGTAACCATAAGCTGTCTATCCTGACTCAGGAGTCTCGCATCTGAAGGGTTAACCTGCAATAAACTAAGGGCGGCAAGTGATACACACACACCTGTAAAAGCAAGCACAGCGTGTGCCTCCACACACTCGCAGAGGAGAAGAAGATGCTGACGTTGCTGTTTGGCTCTTAAGCCATGTACAAGGGCGCATCTGGGCCTCATCGTCTGGGATCAATTACCGGATACAACAGAGTCTAAACTAATGATCTGAGAGAGAGAAAAGAGTGACTCAGAAAAACATGCCTTTAACATGATCCCCACTGCTGAGCCACACTTTATTCCTTTACTCCGCTCATCTATGCTGCTCTCCAGTCAGGTTCCCATTGACCCCCGACACCCAGCACACAGCAAAAACAAACAACTGCAGATAAACAACAGCTGAAGTTTGCACAATCCGTCACAGAGACCGAACTGGCAAGCAAATGTGACCACTGTAGGTAAAGGAAATCCAGAGGAATCCACTTTCACATTCACATAGATGGTTGTGTTGTTGTTTTAGCCAAAATAAACACACACCCACTTTCACCCCTTCATAGCTGTAATTACACTGTTGCTCAATAAGAGCTTTAAACTGTACTGTCTAATGGATATGCTGCTGGTCTTTACAACTCAACTTTGATATCGAAACGATTAAGGAGGCTGTGACTGAGCTGTAAAAGCCTGACATCGTAGGTAGAAAATGGAAGTGAGGCTCATGTCAGTCAGGCAGCTGGTCACACATCTGCCTGCCAGTGAGCTTGTACACTTTCAGAAGTTTGGCAGCAGCAGTATTTGTTTGAAAAAGAAAGGCTCTGGGCTACTAAAGATACTGATCTTAATGCTACTAATCTTCAGGGGTTGTACAAGTATACACGAACAAATGGACAGTCAGTCAATGTGCACTTGTACAACTCCTTCCATGACAGGACTCAGAGACATAATGTTAGTTGTTGGTAATGCTCGTCATCTTGGTTTTTAAAGCGTTGAATACATTTTCATACCTGGGTCAGATCCTGATCCGTCAGCAGATGCAGCTCCCGAGGTTTGAAGCAGTTCTGACATTTACTCTTGTTGAAGAAGTTCGCCTGGAATTTCCTACAGGGGTTTTCTTTTGCGGTAGACATTATACAAACTTCAGCTCTCTTCTCGGGAACAGTTTCTGTGGAGGTGGAGCTGTAATCCCGACGTGTTCCCGTGCGTCTCTTCTATCCCAACTTTTAACAAGCTCCAGCACTGCGACGCATTTCAAGCTTTAAACAGAAAAGACCTAAGTGGAGCTGCGGTGCTCGGAGACTAAGTTCAAATCAAACCCTCCTTTTGTCCATTGAGTTGTATCCAATTGCTGCTTCCCATTAAATAATTAGCTGCCATCCAGCCAGCCTCCTCATCACTCAGCCAGGGATGAATGCTTCTCAGTCCCTGGCCTGCGACCACAAAGCGGAGAGGCGAGAAAGCTGGCTAATATCCTGTTAGCTCGCCAGTGGGTTTCCAGATCAATAACGTGATGGCGTATGCCACAAAAATAACATTTGCACGCAGTGTTCGCCTTCACGCTCCGGGGCGATAGTGTCCATGGAGCGGCGACAGACTCCCGTGTGAAAGCACAGGACCCGGCAGAGAGCTGGCGGTGAGGCGGCAGGCTACTCTCCCGTTCGCAGCTCTCGGTCCATGCGAAGTTCACCCACTGCTGCTTTGCTAGGTTACGGTTAGCTCGGCTAGCTAGCTAATGAAAGCGTCTCCTGGCTGGCGTCTAGAACTTGGCTTTAACAAAATAAGAAGAAAAGGTCGGAAAACCCCAGCGGTCCCAGAGCTATTCTCCCCAAAGAGAGTCACTGCATGCAGGGCGAGCCACTCTGCTCCACTTACGGTCGGCACGGGCAGGATTTAGGGTCTGCTTCCATAACTAGCCTGGTTAGCAGCGGTAGGTTTATTTTCTTCTCTCCCAGCGGAGCGAGGGAGGCGGACACAGATCTCACCAGATCCTGGAATTCTGCTGGATTCTCGCGATAACTGTTCACTGTCGCCGCCCGCAGGCAGAACACAGTTACTGAGCTGGGGAGATGAAACTCAAAGAAAAACATGAAATTAATTTCACATATTATGTCAGTACGTAAACTTTAAGATGAATTATCAAAATTAAACGATTAAATTGCACTCCTGGATTATTTGACTGAGAAATGTGAATTCATATCACCTGCACTCCTGTTTACACTGTACATAAACTGTATATAACCTGTATATTGTGTCAATAGCAATATGTGGTAGAATCATATCACTAATTCTGTATATATACCTACTACTGTAAGATATTTATTCACTGCTTAACATATACATATACTTTAGCATACTGTACCATATATTTATTCACTGCTTAACATGTACATATACTTTAGCATACTGTACCATATATTTATTCACTGTTTAAGCACTTCTGGTTGGATGCAAACTGCATTGCGTTGCTTTTTACTTGTGACATGTGCAATGATAATAAAATTGAGTCTAATCTAATCTAATTAAAAAACAAAAATGTAGCTAAATAGACAGAAGTACACATATATATTAAATATGATATTGATATAGATGTTTAGATATTTGATACCCAAATATTAGAAGACATCCTGCATTCTGATTTAACTTCCCTAAAGCACAGAGGTTCAGAGGTGAAAGTAAAACACCACAATGTACAATTACTTCCATTGCAAGAAAAAATGTTACCTTCAAACTCTTATAATTGATAATGCCACTTCAACATTGTGGCTGGTCAAGCAGGAGTTAAGTGTAAGAGAGTAATATTAAAGTAAATATATCATATAAATCACATTTTATGTTTATATATAATGTTGTATTAATATGTGAACAGCTGCAGTTGGTTTTGGTGGAGTTGATAATGAGAGTTTTATACATCTATATAATGAAAATCTAATGATTTATCATACGTTTGTAAGAAAAAACTATTAAATATATACATATATCCTCCATCCCTTTATGCTGGCAACTTATTGGCAACAAGCTGGCAACAACGGAACGTGCCTCAGATGCTATTCATCACATATGAGTGTATAAATGGCTGACCCAAGCAGAGGCTATTATAAGCAGCAAGTTCCAGTGGACATCAGTAGGTCAGACACACGGACAGACAGAGGAAGAGAGCGGCATGCATGGACGAGGGACATAGAGGGAGGAGAAGAGCCCCTGTTACCTAACTAAAGCCAGAAAGAACAACCGCCAGTCCTGTTGAAGGATTAGCTCCTTGTCGGTGCTGTAAGTGAACCAAGAATAATACAGATTACCGGTGTGTGTGTCTGTTGTGTGGTTGCTATAGATGTGCTCTCGCAAGTACAAGTTGGCTAACCCACTGGGATCTGATCATGTCAGCCCCAACGCAGGGCTGAGCTTGGAGGGGTGGGTCCCAAGTGCCATCACAAATAATAGTTTTAATGTGGAATAGAGAGTTATCTCAATGTGGATTCTCAAGTAAAGTAGGACAAGTGGGGTCACCGATTTCTTATAAATATGAGCCTCCCCCATTTGACCTCCTTGGGGTATCTTATGACAATATCCTGGAGGTGACGCAGTGCAAGGCATCCTGTGGCGGCAGGACGGCCAGAATATATTTAGCTCTCCTCAAACTCACTTTACATGGTAAATAAAGTGGTACATGGTACAAATTTATACCCTTAGGACATTTACAACAGAAATCTAGCCACAGCCACTGAACATACAGGAACTTTTTGCTATGGTGGACTGAAGGTATCTTTTAATATGCTCTTACTGCCTCGTTTTAAGCTGTGTAATGGTTATAATGGTTTCCTTGTTGCTGGGGCTGACTCTCTGAGGAGGATAGTGAAGGCTAACAACCCAATTAAACACAATCATGAAGGTTAAACAGACAGAAACAGAAAATACATTGTCTACATATATATCAACATATTGGAAACTCCCCTATTCCAGGTCAGTTCCAGATTCAGATGAGGAAAGCAATACTCTTCTTGAGTAAACATATGAAGGAGGAAGTAGTAACTTAGCGTAGTGCAACAACTAAGCAGCAAAGATGCTTGGCCCTGTCCAAAGGTTATGCCTACTAGCAAGGTGTTAAAGCTCAGAAATTAACAGGTCCTATTCCATTTGATGAATACATTGGAAAAACTGTGTGTGAAAAAACACCAGTTTTTGTGCAAAAATGATCATTAGTGAGCAGACCTTAGGACACAACCGACTGAGCTATTTGTTTTTGCTGGCCAACTTTAAGCCAAGCTATCTTAAGCTATGCTTTATATTTACTGTGTGAAAGCGAGAGTGCTATCAATCTTCTCATCAACACTTGGCAAGAAATAAAATGAGCACATTCTTCAAAATACATGGCTTTAAAATACAGAATCATAGTCCCAGCTTGTGAGTTGACCTATATATTTCTCTGATTTGACAAATATGTGTAAGGCAAAACTATTGAAATGCTGATATAGGCAGACCTTTGGACAGATTTAACCCAGTTGTTTTTTCTGGCTTTCTTAGAGCTAAGCTATGCTTTTTATTTACTGTCAGATGTGAGAGTGCTATCAATCATCTCATTGAACACTTGGTGACAAATTACATGAGCATATTCCACAATATGTCCAACCATGACTTTAAAATACTAAATCGTTCAGTGCAGAGGTAGAAAGTTGACCTCATATATGTTTGTCTGATTTGACTCTTGTGTGGACAGGGAGAGACATATTATACAGGGATGTGTGTAGTTTCATAGCCCGAGGCTTCCTCTCAGGAAGGTACTGTCTTACACACATGATTGCTTCTGACAGATAATGCTGATATCCACATTAAAGACTTTCCTGGGTTTTGATTGAATCCTGATAAAATCCACAACCAACCATTGATTTTACATTATTTAATCAATAGCAAATACAAAGGATTTATAGATAGAGAAACCAACATAGATTGTGGATTTCCTGCAGTCAAGTACTGGAGATTAGTTCTGCATTTACTTTCAATCCATGTAGTTGTTGTTGCTATCACTGTATTAGTTTACACCGATGAGCCACACCTTGGGAGACCTAAAACCTGATCTGAGCTGTCCCGTCAGCACAGACTGCTGGCTCCACTAATGCAGGTCACTAGGTCTGTTGCTGTTCCCCATACTGATTCTGTGCTCTCTGTTCTCTCTACAGAACATGGCCCTGCCCTTTGTGATGGCGTTGCCCTTGCTGATCATCGTGGCAGCAGGGGTGTACTACATCTACAATGAGGTCACGCACTTCATGTCCAAGTCCTTGGTGCGAAACAAAGTGGTGGTGATCACGGATGCTGTGTCCGGGGTGGGGACTGGTAAATGATCCTACTTTCTGTCTGTCCACAGAATGTCAGAAAAGCAGATTTCATGACATTTCAAGTGAATAGGACATTAGAGTATTGTGTTTCATTTGTTGTAATTATTAAATTGGTGTGTTCGATCATGAACTACTAAAACCAGACAATATTAGTGTCAATATGGAACATAGATTTTAGACAAAACCAGACCAGATGTTTCCCACAACTTCTAGTCTGTATCGGATATTTTGAGAAAATGGGTCTTTCCCTGTCTTATTGAATTAAATATAAGACACTTAGCAGCTGGTTAGCTTATACCAACATAGACAAATGGAAACTAGGAACTGGTTCAGCTTGCCACCAACCAGCCCCTCTGTTAATAGTGAACAAACATAGATGGTAAAGTTATTTCACATAAACATGTTTCCTTACTGTTTTTGTTCTGTCTGTTCAGAGTGTGCCCAGCTCTTCCATAAAGCCGGAGCCAGACTTATCCTGTGCGGGACGAGCTGGGATAAACTGGAGTCTCTGTTTGATTCTCTAACTGGTGACGCTGACCCCAGAGAGGTGAGAAAATCAAATGAGTCAAAACAGTGACTTTAGATGCATTAGATTCATCATAAACATGTCGGACTCTGAGAAAACCCTTCCAACTAATACCCGTAGCCTTGTGGTGGCAAATTACAGTGCAGAGAAACAAATCTTTTCCAAAGTAGATGTAATGTCTACTAACACACACTGAATGCTACACAGTCCAGTTTTTATTAGCCATATCCCCAAAAATTCACTTAAATAGCCATTAAGACTAAACACACGATGCAGACATTATGTCGTAGGTTTAAAGTTTAAGCAAGAGAATGGATTTCTCATAACGACCCTGTGCTCTGTTGCCACCTCCCACATCAGCACTTCCTCCTCTGAGCAGCACAATAGCAGGATATCCTCTGTGACAAAACACTGTCCTCCCTGACTCTTCTGCACACAGGACACAACAGATGTGACTATCTGAGGAAAACACACACTCGTACAGTAGATAACAATGTCATCCAGTTTGTATAGTTATGGACTCACTGCTATTGATATTCTGCTATCATTTACACAAATTACATTGATTTCTCTTTTCCTTTGAGGGTGTTTTCCCTGTGATCATCATCAACTGGAGGTCTTAGCTCACTTACCTTTGTTGTTTCCAGGTGATTGTGCAGCACATGTATTTATTTATAGACAGAGACAATGCACAATAAAGTTATTGTGCCAGATATAGCTGAACGCCAGAGGCCACCAGCAGTGAGCACAGGTTGCAGATCTAAGAGACAACAGATGTGGTGAACTGAAAACTTGTACGATGATGAAAAATGTGCGAGATGTTTTCTGTTCTGATTTATGCTACTGCTTGTTAATTTAAGACCCTTTTTGTGTATTTAGAGAGATTACAGTAAATTAGAGAGCAGAGATCTATCATAAACTAGAAATATTGTGGGTTTTGATCAGCAACCTATACATACATCTACAGGCTATCAAAGCAAGCAGTAACAAGGCACTAGCCTTATTGAAGCACTTTTTTACATACCATATTTTTTTGATAACGAAATTCATACATGCAGTTTGTTTGCTTCCAAAATTATTAATTACAAGTCACAACATAGCGAAATTATAATTGATAGAAATAATAACAATGAGGAAAATAAATAATAATAATAATAATTAAAAAAAACAATTTACCCTGTGAAAACATCTTATTAGCACCCATAGTTAAAGTTGTATTACTGCGTAACCTCCAGCATCTGTAGTAATTATGGCGGGAGCACAGGAGGAAGATAAGGAACTATGGCTGCAGCCATGCTGCAGGGCGAGAACACAGAAAGTAACCTAACTAGTATGAAGATATCAATAACAATGTAATTTTTGTTGTCTAGAGAAAAAGACCACAAGGAGCCAATATTAACTACTAAGCATGTCCATATGTGGTACCATGTGTTTTAAAGTGCCTTCAGGACAACACAATATAAATAGTGCAATGTCTTTGCTTATCTTGCTCTTCAGGACCAGCTCTACAACTCAAGATAACAAATCCATTAAAATGAACTAATGAGTATCATCTTCTTCTTCTTCTTTGGGTTTAAAGGCAGATGAGGCACCATTTGGCACAAAAACAAACTGTACTGTAAAGTGCTTTGAGTGGTCAGACTAGAAAAGTGCTATATAAATACAGACCATTTTCCATTTGCATTACCGCCATGTACAGTACACAGTCATTAGATATAATCGGTCTGGCTCTCTCAAACCTCGCTCCAATCATGTTCAGGGGTTAGCTGCTGGACAGAAAATAATTATGATTGGCTCCATTGGGAACACACATTGCAATGATTTGTTGATGCATGCAGTGCTGCTCCTTCACTTAAACATCCCAAATTTTACATGGGAGACCAAGAAGAACAGTTAATGTGAAAAAAGGCATTTGTACAGTTAGATTTTAAGTTCTGCTTTTCTACTATTCTATTATTAAAGCTGCTGATTTATTCATCCCATGGATGAACATTAACCGCTACAACTTTACATGATCTGGACATTAGCCATAAAGTATTGCTTAATGGCTGTTTCATCTATTTTGAACTATCCTGGTTTGAACTACAATGATTGATGATACTCTACATTTCATATCCTATCTATGCTGTGCCTTGTTGACTGCTTACGTATTGTTGTGTACGTATATGTCACTTGATTCTTTGTTGTTGTGTACTTATGCTTCTTACACTCAGAAAGAAAGAGCAGTTCAATCCCACCTACATCCTGTTCTCACACTCACTATCTGAGAGCTGGCAGCCCTGTAATTCATAATATCCTGATTAGTGAGTCTTGGCTAAGTTAAGCTAATCACCTGCTGTCTTATTTAGTGACCAGACACAAGAGGGGTGTCAGTGTCCACATTTTAAGTATCATCATAATATGAACTATCTTTACATAACATTCATTTATAAAACGTTTTTGTTGGAGTTGCAGTGATACACTGCTTTTACCTGCTATTACCATCATCTTGCCACTGCACCTTATCTACCTATTTATCTTGGGTTTTTTAAGTGCCCTTGTCCTATTCTGTGTTTTTATTTTTAATCTTTTCTACTTACATGAATGTAGAATATATGTATGAATGAAGTAATCTATCTATCTATAATCTATCTATCTAGTCAGATTGATGTTTCATGAACAGTACATATTGTCCACACATAGTTAAATAATACAGTCTTGTGTCGCACAAGACGTTTGCCCCCAAACTGGTGATCTTGGACTTCAGTGACATGGACAGCATGGAGGATGTGGTGGCTGAGGTGTTGGAGTGTTACGGCTGTGTGGACGTGCTGGTCTGTAACAGCAGCGTGAAGCTGAAGGCCCCCGTACAGAGCATCTCCCTGGAAATGGACAGAAACATCATGGACATCAACTATTTTGGCCCCAGCACTCTGGCCAAAGGTGAGCTGAACATTCCCGGGATCAGACTGTGACAATAAACTTTGTTCTGTTTTGAACGATCTCTCATATCTTCAATGTGGCAGGTGTTCTTCCAACAATGATCTCGAGACGATCGGGGCACATTTTGCTGGTGAATAGCATCCAAGGCAGACTGGCTATCCCATTCAGAAGTTCATGTGAGTTGTCACTGAAAGTTTCTTAGAAGTTGTCTTAACCATGTTTAGAATGTTGATTCACCTGAATTATTATTGCAAATTCATGGAGGATTGCATGAATTTGAGTTTGGGTGTTAAACCATACTGTATATAACCAACTGTATATAAATAATGAAGAACATGAATGGTCCAGTGGTCCAATTTGTGCGAATGACATCAAGTGAAAATTTGCTTCACTTCATGTCTAAAAAATAACTTGCATCATATGCAATATTTCTCAAATGCTATCTATATCAAATAACCATGAAACTATATATATATATATATATATATATATATATATATGAGTACCAAAAACTAAATTCCATTAACATCCACAGTGGGGTACAGTCATAGATGGATACCTTAAAGATAAATTAAAAGACATGTGTTGTGTTCGCTCACAGGAAGTGCTAACAACCCACCGAGGTTTCAGACATGGAGTTGTGTTCTCACAGGATTATGCAACAGACAGTATGGCGGTTCAGTGTTGTGAAAACCATTAGACAAAGTATGTCCTCTGCAATGTTTGGAATGTGGCTTCTTTACAACCAAGTCACACCTCTTTTGTGTTTGTGTGTGTATGCGTGTGTGTCAGATGCTGCATCTAAGCATGCTGCGCAGGCCTTCTTTGACTGCCTGCGGGCCGAAGTGGAGGAGTATGGCATCATTGTCAGCACCATAAGTCACACCTTCATCAATGCCTCCGACCTGCCGCCTGTCGAGGAGCCCGCCCCCAAACAAAACGCCCTGGCTGCATGTGAGTAGATCAGCTGAGTTTACTGAGGGGGTCCTCAAATGTGAGGCGGCGTTACTTTTGTGTTTTTGATGATGAAACATGAACAGAGGTGAATGTTTCTTCGCTGATGATGAGAAGTTTACTTGTGGTGCAGGGGAAATTACTGCACAATCTAGTTTTAAATGTTTGGAATGCTCATTTTTTGTATTATCAAATCTATTAAATCTAAATCTATCTGCTCCTCCACAGTTATTGCTAAGCAGATGACCCATGGTTTGCGCCCGTCAGTCCTGGCCAACGAGGTTATGCAAACGGTAAACAGAAAGAGGAAGGAGGTCGTGCTGGCCCACCCCATCCCCAGGGTGGCCCTCTACCTCCGCTCCCTTTTTCCCCCTTTCCTCTTTGCTGTGCTGGCTGCTGGAGTGAAGGACTCGGTGTTGGCTGGGTAGATTCAGGAGAAAGGCTGAGAGGATAAATGGAATCAGAGATGTGAGACAAAGGAGGAGTTGTTGTTTGGAAATGGTAGATGTGTAATAGTATGTAGTTGACACAAAGCTGGACGACTAACAGGGCAAAGCAGACAACTGCCCTGAGGTGCTAGTCTCTCTGGGACTGAAGCTTCCAGATTGAACTTCTGGAAATTTGTTTGTGGCAATTCAATTAATAGTTGAATATATATTTGTTAATACTACTTAAACCTGTTTACTTAGTAATTTTGTTTCAGAAAAAATACATGTACATACAGTACATGTCGCCCTCATGTTTATCAACTGGTAGGACAGAAAATGATGCTTATCAATGCAACATCCAGTGTATCAGTGTCAGTATAATCGCCACCTATACCTCTAACCTCAAAATTAAACATATAATGAAATGTACGCTTAATGACAAATTCATCATAAACTAAAATAACAACCACACAGGTAGAATTCATGACTGTTGCTTTGTGCTCTGTTTGATTACAACTGTGTACCTTATAAAGACTGAAACACTTTAATGTTTGTTCAAACAGCAAAAAATAAAATCAAAGTACATAACTTAATTGATTGATGTATTTTCTGCATCTCTTTATTGCATTTAATGAAAGTCAATGTAATCTGATTTATTGTCACAGAAGAGAACAGCAAACAAATGAGGTCGGCGTTTTATGTCTTGTCATGTGTATAAGTTCTTCACCTGGTCACATTTACAGATGTGTGTGTGTCATTTTTCAGGATGTCCACCTTTGGATGTAAGATTTTTCTTTTTAAATGAAAATAAACAAGTGAATATCTGTCATCAAAACAAAAAATCAGCCCATGAAATAATATATATTGTTTAAATGGAAGTGCCTAACATCATGCTGATCTTCAGATGTTTCAGTGCACACCAGAGTGTGCTTCTCTATATTTCCTCTAGTGGGCAGCAACACATAGCTATTAATGAGTGGTTTATGATGCTGATGAATTTCGCCTTTACAGACCTCTTTTCTTTTCTCATCGAGCAGTTTATGTGTTGCAAAAAGTATTTGTTGAAATATGAATTCACTCCTATAATTAGTGAATAATTAAATGTGCAATGATGAAAGATGATTTTCTCTGCAATTTGCGATTACATATATATATATATATATACATGTATACATATAAATATAAATTATAGATGTATACATATTTATATTCATATATTTGGTTTTTATATTCATCTTTAGCTCGGCAATTTTTTCCTGAAACAGTTAATTTCACCACAACAAATGCTGCACGTTCGCTGAGCTTTGATGTTTACACAGATGCAATCCATCCAGTTACATGTCACTCATAGATTTATTGCTCTCATCACTTCAGGGCTGGAGGGCAGGAGCTTCTGCCTGCCTGGTATTATCTTGTGAGGATTACTCTGGTGGGATCAATGCTCTGAATATGATGCACAGTATATCCTGTTGGTGAACGCACCAAAACAACACATTTGGCACATTATATGAAAAAATAAAGCCTAATCCAAACCAGCTCTGTGACAGAAGTGCTTTTTTGTGACGACTGTTATGTAAATGAGAAATAAATTCAGTGTCTGGCCCAAGCATTGTGTGTGTGTGTGTGTCTGTGTGTGTGTGAGACCACTGCCGTCAAGTCCAGCTGGTATGCGTGAGTCTGTCCTCCAGGTCACTCTCCTCTGGGGAGTTCAACATCTTTTGTCTCCGGGGCCTCCGGACAGGAATGTGCCGCTAATGTTCACATGAATAAATGCAGCTCTGTGACATTTCCACTTGTCAAACAGGAAGGATTTCTTCAGAGCACTCAGCTGGACGCTCCAAATTGGCATTTTGATCAGACAGATTTACATATGTCACCCAGATCATGTATGTTTCATCGCGTAGGATGGAGGTTAGCCTGCATATGAATAATTGTCTCAGCAGATCTTGCCGAGATTCCACGATCAGCATGTTAGATTATATCAGCTATGAAATTGTCAGATGTATTTCTGCCGAAAGGTAAATCAAGCAGAGATGCGTGGAGGTGTTCAGTAATATCTGTGAATGATCTAAGCCTAATAGTTTCTCTCAATCATCTGTCTGGGTGAGCAATATGTTGATAAGGCCCAGACGATGGCGAGATGACTGTCCTGAAGCCATATTCAGAGTGATGCATCCTGAATGTGAGGCATGATGAGAATCCCCTCACAGGGACGTGTGCCGCTCAGAAATGGTCTTTCCATGAGCGAGGTGATCACCCTTATCAATTTTTAAAGCCCAGGTTATTGACACTAACCTGACTTATGGAGGTTATGCAGAGGCCATGGTAATGATTCCCTAAGCTTTCACATACGACACCAGAGGGACTGGCTCTTATTTTAAAATATTGGTGGATGGACTATGTTATGGCTGCAACGAGTATTACAGTAATGTTGGCACTCTGGTGTTTCTTTTTGTCTATCTGTCATCTCCCTGCATGTTTGTGTTCTGGTCCTTTGTGTAACTGTAAAGTAAAAAAAAAAACCAAGTATCCTAAAGCAGTCAGAAAGGTAAACATATGAATCAGTACATTACTGGCCCAGACTGGTCTTTCATTAAATCCATATCAAATATCGAAATGGAAAAGAGCTACAACAAAAATATCTTCAAAAACACATGAAATTCTATTTTCTTTCAACATTTTGTGAATGTATTTACTCAGTGATTGGTCACGTAAACAAAGCCGGCCTGAGGCACAAGTAGAATTAAAAGCTACCACTGTGTCAGGGGTCACACAGAAAAACATGAACATGGGAAAAAGGGAATTGCTTTGCTTTGTTCATTTAAATTTAATGTCAGTGTAATACAAGATTCAAGATTCAAGATTCAAGGGTTTATTGTCATATGCACGACAGTCTCAGGCTCTCCTCGAGCCATGCTCAGAAAATTATGCAAGGAAAACAAACAAAATACAATATTAAAAATTAAATAGAATATATAAACTAACAATAACCTTAAGTATTAAAAAAATATGCAATTTCAAAAAAGTGTTACCGCCCGGTCTCGAACCGGGGGCCTGTTAGGCGAACATAATAACCACTACACTATGGAAACTTAGGACAAAATTTAGCACATCGTTTTTGTATTTTTACGGTACTGTCACTGCCATGGAGCGGAACGAAGCTTGAAAGCGTTGTATTAACGTTATATATTAACTTATATCTTTAAATCTTACCTGGTTAATCTGCAGTGAAGATCTTTTGGCCAATACTTTTCATAAAATGGAACAGCACATGTGTTGGGGGGCTTATATATACATTTGAATCATTTACTGATCTGCTGATATTTGTTCATGCATAACATGTCGGCTATTTCAGAGGTCAGTTAAGCATCAACACAAACAGACAATACACAATGTTCACAATACACAATACACACAACTAGTGTGAAGCCAATGGGTTGAACAGTTCAGGAGATGTGTGTTCCACATACAGACACACAATGAGACGTTTGTGGAGTTAGACAATCGATCAAAGAAACAATTCCTCACAAACTATTCTCTCAAATATTGCATGCTAAAAAGATAGCCAATTGAAACTGCATGAACTACACACTGAATAGAAGTATGCAGACCTGTCCTCGGAACACTATACAGAATTAAACTAGTCTTTAAGGCATAATCTTAGCATCACATGTCATCTTGAGAGGGGGATTCTTTTTATAAATCTTAGAAGTCTTCCTAATCCCTCAGTCTTGTTTGGTTTAAAGATTACATATATTTAATCTTAAAGAGAAAGTTTGCCTTAATCTCCCATAAATCCCATAGTGCACTGCTTCTCACATCCCTCCACTTTCTCACAGGCACACAACAGTCTCCGCACGGATAAGACTGCACTGTCACAAATGAGAAAGTTCGAATATTTAATCCCTCAATTTTCTTTCTATTGGACACAAAAGCATTATAATGTTTCTCATGACCCTCAAATCAAGAGGGACCACACATATAATTATGTTACGAGCGGATGTTGGAGAGGGATTTAAATCAGTGCAAACTACAGGGAATAGGCATTATACAGTTGGCCCGGGTGAAATCCTTTATGTGCAAATGAATCAAAAGCCAAATTGAAGCGGGAATCCCTAGTCTGTGCACTGATAATAGATTTGGATCATTTTGATAATGGCAGAGTTTATCTGTTCTTTTTGGGAGTTTGATTCCGACCATTAGTATCAGCTCTGTGTTGGAGCGTCAGTGTGTCACAGCCCTTATTGATCAGACTGGGACTAACTGGAGATGTTAATAAAGTTCGAGTCACGGTATTGATTGTCTGTTATTATCAGTCAATGTATCGGGTGGTAAGTCAATGTTCAATGTCAGGCGCTGGGCTGATGTGTGGGGCTTTATTGCTACCCTTGAAAATAACCACATCTTGCTTTCGGTTACGCACAAAGGAAGTTTTATTTAAATCCATAGACAAAGACAAAGAAAGAATCAGGGACTATTATGGCTGGAGCCACAAACCTCCAGGGAATGAATGTTTACTTGTCTAAAGAATGAGACACTGATTGCCATGATTCGAAAAGAAACACATATCTGTTCTGCCTTTAAATCATAAATATTTGCACATCAACATAGCATAAGTATTTCAAATAATTATCAGCCAATTTTAAATTGTCTAACTTCATCATGATATAAAAACATCAAAAATTAACCAAAAACCCTTGATTTGTAGAACAGGGTTAAGGTTGTTCAAAAGACACATGGTAGACATCAATTTACATTCAATCTATGTTCTAAGTATGTGGAAACAAAGAGGAAAAAGGCTTCATGGTGACCTGTATTTACAAGGTAGGAGCAGGGTACTACCAGTATTCTGCTTCTTCCCTTCTTCCCTTCTTGTGGAAAGGAGGGGATGTATTTGCAGTTTCTCACAGGGACCAATGCTATGTTATTTCATAAAGGGTTAATATGGGATATATGATCACAAATAGCCTGTATGATAATATATCATTTCAGGCTTTGAGCATGCAGTCAATGTGCTTTATTTTGTCTCAACAAACTTCATTAAATATCCTTCATAAAATAAACAGAGTAAATTAAAACAAAATTAAATAAAAGGAAGCTTTTAAATGTATTAACTGTTGCATCTATTCGTGAAACTACAGCATTCAAATAGAACAAACTCAACAGCGGCAAAACAAAAAGCAGAGACAAGGAGGAAGAAATTAAATCTGACACGCTGCATGTGCACAGATTTCAACTAAATTGCAGAATAATGCAAACTGTGACAGTCTGCAACATGATATCAGTGTTCATGAGCCCTGACCAAGTTGCTAAGCTCCGGTGTATTGAGTTCTGATGAGCCATCCCACTTTGTGCATATTATATGAGAGCTATGGGAATCTAAATGCAACAATATTGACACTGTGCAATTAGAGTGGGGTCATTAGGTCTGCTGCTATTTTAGAGGAGGAGAAAAGGAGTTGCATCACTGGAATCCTGCCTGGTTGGGAGGTGGAAAACACACACAAGCAAATAAACTCAAACACACGCACGCGCGCACACACCTCTCTGCTTCTCATCTAAATTAGAGGGGGGTCATAATGGGAGGAGGGGGTTTCT